GTCAGATTATCATTTGAAGATTTCGCTGCTAGGCCTCTGGGCAAGGCCCTAAACCCCCAATGCTCTGGGAACAGGCTGGTCCCGCTTTCTGAAATGTATGTTGCTTTGGCCAGAAGTGCCTGCTGAATAAATAAGCGTAAATGTAAAGCACAATCTGCATTCATATTTACAGCCTAGAGGAACCCAGATATCCTTCTCGATTTCAGTGCTCAAGTCCATTTACAGTTGTTATGCGTTCATAAATTCTCCAAATGTTGCACTTAGCTAAATGAAATAAATCCAAAACAACAAGAACAGTGCCAACGAACATCTTTACAGATGAAAATTCTGGAAACGGTGCTGATACATATATTTTTGTTCGAAGTATTGTTTGTTCGAACCCAATGTTTTGCTTGCCGCCCTTTTCGGTAACACATGTGGTGTGAAAATATTTCTTTTTGCGAGCTGTGTCCCGTTTGCCAAACTCCCGTATGACTTCTAAGGGCTTTTCGCTTGATTGCTGTCTTGTCCCAAGCCAAACATTGGAATAATTTCAAGTCAAGCCATGTGAAAGCAGAGTATAAAGTGTGTAATTATACTGACAAAGGGCTGAGCATGTGTAATTAGCTCTGCTGGAGTATGCCCAGAATATGCCGAGTCAATTGAATTGTCAGACTCATCGATGTCACCCCATCTTACATCTTACACCCCAAGTCCTACACCCATCTTGCTCATAATCATGTTCTTACAACATGAGAGGAACTTCTCTAGAAAACATGACTCTGTTTTCCAGCTACAGGGCTGCTGTTTCAAAAAGTATTATTAATACTGGAAAATTAATTCCTTAGAATTTAGGGATTTATCATCGTCAAAGTCCAGGACAGCTATTGTAAATTTTTTTTTGTATTTTTATGGTTGACTAATTAAAATTTCATTAGCGTCTGAAACAGTTTTCATTTGTGAAATTAAGTCTTTCATTCTTTTTTAATAGAGGTGGATAGTTCAGGTCCACAAAGTAAAATTCAAGACCAATCAGATCAAGATTTTCTTTCAGCCAATCAGTTGAGTACTCTGTGACTATGACTCTTTATACTGAACTGTAATGTGGATATACGTAGCAGTATAGTGCAGTATATAGTATATAGTGCAGTCGAGCATTTATCATCCTGTGCATTATACTGTATATGCAAACGCAAACCAAAACATGCTGTAACTCCTATAGCTGACCAAGTAAAGCATTGCACTGATTATATAAAGGTCATGGGTTAATATCCCAGGGAGTATGTGGCAATTGTAACCCCTCCCTCTGCTCTAAGATTCTTCAGATAAAGGCATCATGTAAAATATCAGTCTTATATCGCTATAGCATGACTGTATGTTCCTGGAATCTTTTAATGTGTCTTTGCATATATGTATTCGACAGTGTAGGTACAATATGGAGACACTTTTCCCTAACAGACAATTTTCTATGGTTTTTCAGCCCTTTAACATACAGCTATTTAAACTGGTTTGTAGCATATGACGAACATTCACGGTATTTACATAAATCATATTTACAGACTAAACTGAATGCATGAAATCAGCAGATCGCTGCATCCTTTGCATGAAGTGGAATCCTGGGATGTGTTCAGGACCACAGGCTGTCAGTGTCTGGTTCTGGAGAGCTGATATATGTGTGCAGAGGTCTGCTGAAGGCTGTTAGATGACACGCCACATCTGATCTGCAATATTTGTCTGGACTATAAAATCCGAGTCTGGCAAAATACCCTCAATGACTTTAACTTTTTTTAATGTCCAGAAATATATCTGGTCCCTGTGTTAAATGTAGGTACTGTAAACCTTTGATCTGGAAATGATGTAATGATGTCACTATGGGTCACTGAACTGAATTTTTTCTTACGTTGTCAAAGCCAGTTCACCTCACCATAGAGTGTTTTTTGCCTCACAATGCCTGTTGACGTTTGGCTAATGCTGTCGATGACGTAACACTAAATATTCAGTCTAAAAATTGCGTTGATTGGTAGAGTTCCGATCGCAACACTCAGTGAGTATCCAATATCATTGACCTCTTCTGCATTTTTGTCTTAAAAAACATGGATGTAATTCAGGTTTTCATTAAAAAGTTTTATTGGTTTGCGTTAAATCGTTAGTAGGTTTTTTTTCTTCTTCGTGATTGTCCATCACTGCTTTCTCAATGATGCTCCAGAAGTTACCCAGGCGTGGGCTTAGGTGAACGCCCCGGTTCTGCAATCCATGAATGTCACCCTTTATTAGGTAGAGCACACAGTAATGGCTACCAGGAACAGACATTAGCAGACATCGCCAACAAAAGACTTCACTTCCTGTTCTAAAGAAGCCTATTGAAATTTAGGAAATGAAAATTCTCTGTACCATCCCAGTTCAATAGTGACCAAGCAGGTGAAAATAATTACGTCTCAAATGTTTGTAGGTACAGTGTAGGCCAGTGCTGCTGGGACAATTTTTAATGTTTAGTCCATAATGGTTAATTAAGTTAAGTTAGGAGAAGCGATCTTCAGTTTGGCACTGGGAACTTCATCCGGTTGGAGAAAAGAATGACTCTTCTCACAGGGAAAAAAGTAAACTGAAATGTGTGCTATAGTGAATTCTGAATGCAGAAAACTTTCCGGTTTAATCAAACACAGTGTGTGAGTTTCATTAGTTGATGATCATTGGTATTTAAGTTAGCAAACACAGGAACAAAAAGCATTTATGCTACATGTCCATTATATCTGGTATTAACATTAAAGCTGATGAGAGTTTGTCATATATTTTCATTTTGGCTGTATAAGTAAATCGGTCCCCAGATTTGCTTTAGCAGTAAATTATATACAGTATGTGCAATTATAGTAAAGTATTGCAGCCTCACAATGCATATTGACATGCAGTTATTACTTTGTGCTAAAATCAATAACAATAAATTAAAATCTGGATTCATATAAAATTAAGGAGAGGTATTGTCAGATTTAATTACATTAATATTTTTTAGCAAATATAGTCTAATTATGTTAAAAAATAAACATTTGATACATTTTGCATGTTACACTTCCTGGTTTGAAAATGATAAAAATGCGAGTTACATTGTTTGTTAGAATATTCCATTGCTCCCTCTTTGTGTACCTGCCCTACCTATTGTTCCACAGCGTAACACAGTAAAATAGATGTCCAGGAAAAGATGGGAATAGTGTTTGTGCTCCTAATCAGCCGCAGCTGTTGGCTCCACGCACTCCCAACGTAATCCCACGGTGACTGTAAACCAAATAATTACCGTTACGTTTTGACATTAAGGTGCAGGCTTCCTAATGACCCAAAGAATTAAACTTAATCTTGCAAGAGAAAAGAATTCACTTTCTTTTCGTTTGCATTTATACTCCTCCTTTATTTAGCACAGCTGGGGGGGGATGAAGCCGTTTTTTTTTTTCAAAGATCAATGGAATTTGATTGGAGACTGTGCGCTTAATTGCTTCCAGAATGTTTGTCTGAAAACTAGCTAGACTGTGCATCACACGCACTGGGAGCCAATGCCAAAAGCTCTTCGATGTAATATTTGGCGTTGACATTTCTTGTGCTTATTTAGTCACTCCCTATAAGTAACTTAATTGATTCTAGTACCAATAAGCATCTAAATAATTATTCGTTATCTGGAGCTGAAAACAGTGGCTCCACAACAGACAAAACGGCAACATTGAAAGATACAGAAATGTACGATTTATGAGTTCTGCATGCATTTTAGTTGAATGTGAAATAATTCTCATGTTTTTCTCGGGGCATGCTTGAAATAATGCTCATTTTATCACATCTGCTCAGTTTCAACAAGGTCATGCTTCACTGATACATTTATGTCCAGTGCATACTGAGGTATGCGCATTTATACTGTATAAACAGCACTAAGTATAGTATTTTGAGAAATAAACCACACATCTGATGTCAGTGGCATGATTCTGAAGTCTCAGACAACTGGGTTATGTCTGGCAGGAGGTATACGGTTTATTTTTTCATCGTACTATATGTTTTAAGTCATTCCTCTGGGTTCACCGCACGCTGTGTGGCAATTTTAAAACAGAAACTCTGAATCACTTGTTTTGCACAATGTTTTTATTTTCCATGGAGATGCTTTTGGCTGCAAACGTGACTCATTAGGCCAGCAGGACAAGGTGTTAAACCACAGGTGAGACCTGACTATTAGTTAGCCTGAGATATGCTTCTTTTTATTGCTAACAAACGGTACTGTCAACAACGTGCGGCTTCGCACACAATATTACGTTTACGCTCAAATGCTACACATGATGGATGGCGGAGGTTTTATGGATGTTTTTTTGGCCCAAACATTCATTCAGGGTCACAGAGCAGTTGCGAGAAGCCGTCAGGTGCTGGTCTTTATTGGACGGCGCCTCAGCCCATCGCCTGACCCCCTCACACGCGATCGCTCACATGCTAAAGGTAATTTAATTCACTTCACATGGGCTGTGTGTTATCAGCACAAAAACCCAGGAAGCTTGCCCAGACTCTGCGCGCGTCTGGATTGTTAAAGAGACAGCTGCATGCATATTCATATTTTTATTTATTTTTTAATTAATATTTTAAGGCAGTGTTTATACAATTGTGAGCTTTACATTTCTAGCTTTATTGAAGGTATGCATAATTAAAAAAAAGAGATCACAACTTGGTTAAAGACTTTAATTTAAAATTATGTTTAATATATCCTTTCATATCACGTAATGCAGTGAAGGACAAGTTATACTGAAAAGAAAATTTCGAATTAGGTTCAACTGATTATTCAAATATAAAAGCATGGAATAAATAGCAAACAAAATACAAGGAATTTAATATTGAATTAATTGCAAATGATATTTACTGTATAGAATGAAAACAACAAAAAATAAAATGTAAACAGAAGACAAATTGAGACGATTCTTACTACATGCTTGGGAAGAGTGAAGATGGAAACTTACCAGAAATAAAATTCTGGCCGGATGGTATTTTGTTATCACCGATGCTATAAAGTATGTTTCTCAGAAACGCAATTTTCTCACAATGTCGGAATGCAGCGCTAGCTCGCATTTAACTGCACCCTGACATTGTGAAAACACACGTTGCCGCAACATGGCGAAGCGGAACTATGGCGAGACTTAATCAAAGCTCCGCGTGTAGCGTTGTCACAACACTCTGGACAGGGTCGCATTCAAAAGCGGTGAGTGAGCATTGGCTGAGGCTCATTTCCATGGTTACAGTACTATGGGTTGGACAGTGTTCAGGACTTTGCCAGAAATCAGGTTGGGATTCTTGGTGTAAAACTGAAATGTTCTTTTACCAAGGAGCAGAAAACAGGATTCATAATTTTTATCGATGTCTCTAAATAGCCCATAGCGTGCGATTGTTTGCCCATTGTTGGGGAAGTTGCTCACGGAGTAATCCATTAAATACTGAGGTGGAAAATCCAGGTCCAGAAAGTACAAATCCATACCAATGTTTTGTTTCAACCAACCAGTTGATTATCACAGTGTCACAGCCACAGTGAACTCAACTGGTTGGTTGAAACAAAATCTTGGGCTGGATTTTTATTTTCTGGACCTGAACTTTCCACCTCTGTGTTTAATGGATTACTTCTGTGAGTAACTTCCCCAACACTGTGTCTGCCTTGGGAAGGTCTGGCTTCCCATCTAGGGTGTCCCACCCCCTGCCATCCCAGGACAGGGTCCATCCTCTCCATAACCCTGTAATGGATGGACAGATAGATATTTTTCTGAATGTCGGTCTTCAGAAATTAATGTTCGCTATAACTAGTCTGAAATGAATACCACAGCATTCAAGTATCACTGGTTAGATTCGACACAATATCGTTCGGAACGCTGTATGTACTGTAAATGACTCAAAAGGATCCCCCACAATGAGGCAAGCATATCCTCACAGAGAAATCCCCCAAAGTTCCCCGACATGAAAAAGCGCCCACTTCATGGTTTTAAGCAGTAAGCCAGTAACATAATCACAGGGTTGTATAATCACAAGATTAACTCAGCAATAGATTACAATTGTTCAGTTTGTCGTTTGTTATGAATAGGCCTCAGCATAAGGTATCGAATTAAAGTCTTCAAACACCAAATGTGTACATAGCAATAAAAGAAATACCGTATTCCCACTGAGGTGCATAGCACTATAATCTGCGAATCTGGCGACATTTGGTTGCAATATGGCTTTTTTATTTGGTTGTGGATTTCTGAAGTTTTAAAGATTTAACTTTAACTTATAGAGGAGACTCATGTATACAGAAGTTCCCCGGGTTACAATGTGGTTGCCTTCTGAAAAACCGTAAGCTATCGTAAGCTATCGCAAGCCTAGCCCACCTTAAACATGCTTGGAATACTTACATTAGCCTACCGTTGGGCAAAATCACTAACACAAAGCCTATTTTATAATAAAGTGTTGATTATCTCATGTAACTTATTGAATAATGTACTGCAAGTGACACAGTCCATCAATACCAGGGGATCGTCTGTAATTTGAATGTAGCACAAAGGTAGTAGAACATACAGCACGTTAAAAGACCCTGTATACTGATTCAGAGAAGTTTCTAAACATTGGATGCATCAGCCAGTAAAAGCTTCTCTTTTCTGTGGGCTTGTGTTTGGCAGTGTTGCATTTAAAGAGATCTAACATGGGTCTTGTGCTTAAACATCGATGCCCTGTTTTAGAACATGTGGTAGGATTGCATCCAACTTTTTACTTTGTGTCTGGTGCCGAAATCTTTCTTCATAACTATCAGACAATGGAGTGTGAGTAGGGGCCACCCTGGATTTCATATGAAACACAAAGGCGAAATTTTGCACTCATTTCTGCTTAGACCCGAGAATAGTCACAGGCCGGACAAAACGATTGTATTTGTTCATCCAAATCTATCATTTTAGACTTTATTTTATTGTCAAATAAGAATCTATTACACAAATCCACAAAATCTAGAGTATTCATTGAAAACAGGCTTCATTCTTAAACTCTTTTTTGAAATGTAAAATATTATCTTGTGCTATTTTTGAAACGTTTTACAAAGGAATTTGATTATTGGGAACACAAGTGCGGCCTGTTAATGTGATTGAACAAATACTATCTGATTTCCCTGATACACAGATCCACACAATCCCATGCAGATCGTCTCCCAGCCTTGTTCCCTATGCTGCCGTGGATAGAATCCAGGGTCCGCTAAACCCTGGTCAGGATAAGCAGCAAGAAGCAGATGAATGGACACACCCCAGCATTGTTCTATATTTACTTTAATATTTGGCTGGATATTACCTGCATTGTACCATTTACTTATTGTTTTAAATATTTCCTGCCATTCCACAGAAATATTGAAAATGTCAAATAATTGCGTCAGCCAGTGATGTTATGCATACCGTAAATTGAAAACAGTCGTGCGTTCATAGAGAAACAAGAAAAAATATCAGATACCTTTTCATAAAACAATTCTGGCATTCGTGTTTTCTATACTGGAGCATTTTGTGAAATATGCAGTGCGAAATTTTGAGTCATATTAGTCAAACCTTTAATAAAAAGATCTCACATTTCTGCAGAGTCTTGATTTGGCATTTTGTTTTTTAATCCAGAAGAGATCTAATGAAGAAATTAAACCCCTTCATTGATTCTTTGGATTGTTGTAGCCAGGAAATTTAATTGCTTAATCATCTTCTTCCCAGGCTTTTCAGCACCCCTGTTCATCATCTGGTTTCAATCACATACTGAAGCGGTACTTCTTTAGCCTTAGCTATAGAAGCTATAGCTAATGAAAATACACAGGCAGGACTGTTCGAAGCTTTCTGGTATGTTAATGACAGCTTTGGTTAACCAAAATGAGAACAGGACCCTATCTGTGGATTAAGTGCCTTCTATTTTATCGAAACCATACACAACGCACGTTGTACTGCCACGAGTATGGTTTTCACACTTGAACCTTCACAGGCCCGCTATCAAAAACTTTCTCGACATTTTGCCTCAAAAGTAATTACAGACAAGCCACAAATGGGCCTTTTTCAGTATGCCGCAATAGTTTGCTCTGTTCGTCTGTTCACTCCGTCTCGGCCAAGGGCCCACTATATCAACTGTGAATATAAAATCACGCCGGAAGAAGCCGCATCAGGTACATAAATATTAGCCCATTTCCTGAAAGAATGCGACGGGACATAAATTGTTCCACTGTGCAGCTAAAGTTAATATTTCTGTGTCTCGTTTGTTGTTTGGATTATTTCTGTTTTCAGTTTGTTCCTTGCAAATAAACACTGAATTTGTTCTGCTTGTTAAAAAAAAAACTGTCAAGGTCAAAGGAAATGAAAAAAAAAACAAATACTTTCCAGACAATTGTATTGTAGATGAGAAGTTCTCATCGCAGTGCTGGTGGATGATGCTTGTAATACTTCCATATTGCATTCTATGCTGTGCTATAGCCATTGAACACCCAGAATGCTATATTTGAAGTGGGTAGCTCATTTTAGGCAATTTAACATAGACCAACTAAGTTTGACTTGATTTCCTTTGAAAGTGATTAACCCTTTAATGTTCAATGGGAGCATTTTGAGTTTGTCATGACCTGTACAGGATGGGGCCCTAACATTCCTAAAGGGTACAAGTTAGGATGACTGAATTCATGTTTCGTGTTATATCAATGTTGACAAGGCTACATGATGTCATTATTACATGGACCCTGTCTTGGATCCACAACTTTAGTGCTACTGTGACTCTTGATACATTTAGCTAAAAAAAAGAAGTAATAGTCTTTATATTTAACCTAAAAAAAAAAAAACACGGACTTTTCGACAAGAGTGTCCCCACGGTGTTGGCGATTTCATGCAGGAGAGCGTAAGTCACTAATGGGACCTTTTGAAGAACAAGGATCTTCCATCAGTAGACAAATCTTGAGGGGCACAGCAGGGATGTACGTGGGACTAATGGAGGAATCATTTGATCGCTGGGTAAGGTCTAGAATGAAGTGCTGTTGCTTTTGACCTACGTCATTGACTTATAGACTTGCTCTTTTGGTAGAGCGACGGTTCGAAATCCCAGTTGTGCACCAGCTTTGGCATCATCTAGCCTGACGATCTGTCTTCCTTGGTCTTCAGCTTCAAATGTCCTTCTAACGGAACACATTTGTGGACATCCCAGGACCTCTTTCTACTGCTTATTCAGCATACAGCCCCTCCTTGCCATACAGCTGTTAAAATAACTAAGACACATGTTTCCAAAAAAAAAAAAAGACTCTGTATTCTTATTGACAGTCAGTCCTTTGCGAGGCAAGCCGATTGTTTATCTGTGAATGTATGTCTGACATATGCATGATGCATTTTCGGTTAAACCCACATGATTCCTGGCCTTAATTAGGAAATACTAATTTAGTAAGAAAATCTGCAACGTTAATCCGAGCAAGATCAGGCGGCTGTCGAGAAATAAATTATTAAAAATGAAATGATTCACTGCAGCGTCTGAGAAATTAGGCAGGATTGCCTAGTGGTTAAAGCTGACTCAAGTCCAGAAGAATGAAGGTTTTAAAATATGAGTCTCCGACTCCGAGCTTCTCCCTGTGGTAATACCCACCTTTCTGTGTTGAAGTCTCACCCAAGCTGCCAGGCTGGTATGAGAATGCCTGGCTCCCAAATGCACTGAGGCATGCCGGGTTGGTCAGGATAAGTAGTACTGCATGAGTGTGACTTCATAGAAAGTTCTGGTCTAAATCACGCAGCTGGGCTTATGAGGTGTTCAGATAAATGCAACCTAATTTCGAGCCGCCTCACAAACGACGCAGCCAGACGCAGGGCTTTTGTGGGCCAGCACGCATGCCAGGTCGTCGCATGTGAAGGTGTATGAAAGGGACGAGATAATCCGTGCGACCCGCGAACCGGGGCTTCTCGGACGTGAGGAGAATTCGGAATATCCGGTGAGAGGAGAATTCACCCCCTACTGCAGGAAAACCATGCAAATCTTTCACGCAGGAGGCCGAGTCAGATGCAGGGACCCACCCAGGTGCAGTCAGAGAATTAGCCACAGCGCCACCATCTGGCTGAAAATGTGGCTTTTTTTTTTTTGTGAATGAATTGGCGGTAGCGACGCGTGCACGGCGACGACGATATTCCGATCCCGTGGGTTTTCTCAGCCCTGAGCATTTTAAGCACATCTGTTCCCAGCACTTGCAATAATTCCAGCCCCAAAACCTAATGGCGGCAGCTAAAATAAGATAAATCTTTTGCAGCCAGTTCAATTTATCATAGTGAAATCAAAAACATCATTCTGCTATTAGCCACCCCGCTCCCCTCCACAAAGACCACATATTTTTAAGAAGTTAAGTGAAGGCAGACTGTCACAAGTACATCAGCAGAAACCAAAACTGTGTCATGTGCTCAGACTATTGGGTCTGCGAAATACCACCCATGTATTTTGTCTATGCTAAATGGCCTCATGTGCCCCCCCCCCCCATTTTTAAAGCAAATGGTGCGGCCCGCGTGTGTGTTTGTGTGTGTGTGCGCGCGTGAACCTTTCTCACTTATTTTTCAAATATCCTTACAGAAAAAGATGTGATGTTATAAAAAGACACACACACACACTTTCAATATCATGTCAGCTAGAAATGCAATCTTTTTTTACCGAGATGAGAGGAGCAGACAGGTGAGTCCGGGGGAGTTCTGCTCCTGTTCCAGATGCACCGTAATCCCGTCGATGGGGTCAACCGCCGCGACAGCTGATGGACGGTGATTTATTTGACCGTCAGTCTCGCTGAGGAAGCTAGTCGGGGCCACATCCTGCAATTAATTTGTCAGGTTAAAGACTCTCCCTAGCTGACGGTGGGGGGAAGTAATGAACGAGAAAGTTGTGACAAAGCCGTTTCCCTCCAATAAATAGCCAAATGCACAAATAAAATGCTACACAGCTTGTATTAAGATTGTGCTCTCCATGTGCTGAATGTGTTTTGGTTCTCAGGGACATGTCGACAGAGAAATAGCTTATTTGCACGGCTGTTCTTAGCACCATCTGAAAAAAAAAAAAGTGTATGATGTTTAAATTAGAAAATTCATGACTTAAATGATTATATAAGTTTAGCCGAATGTGAACACAAACATGTTTCTGGATAGATTCCTTAAACAGTCTGCAAAGCCTTTCTTTGACTGTATAAGATTTGAGGAGAAATATTGCATACCTGAAGGGAAACTTTAAAAAAAAAGGTAGGTCTTAGGGTTACTTGTTATTACAATATTATTTCCATCCATCCATCCATCCATTACCTTCTGCTTATAAAGGTTGGGTCGCGGGGGCAGCAGTCTCAGCAGGGAAACCCAGACTTCCCTCTCCCCGGCCACTTCATCCAGCTCCTCTGGGGGAATCCCGAGGCGTTCCCAGGCCAGCCAAGAGACATCGTCCCTCAGTCGTGTCCTGGGTGTTCCCCGGGGCCTCCTCCCAGTGAGACATGTCTGGAACACCTCACCAGGGAGGCGTCCAGGAGGCATCTAAGGCAGATGCCTGAGCCACCTCATCTGGCTCCTCTCGATGCGGAGGAGAAGCGGCTCTACTCTGAGTCTCTCCTGAATGACCGAGCTCCTCACCCTATCTCTAAGGGCGAGTCCAGCCACCCTGCGGAGGAAACTCATTTCGGCCGCTTGTACTCGCGATTTCGTTCTTTCGGTCACTACCCACAGCTCGTGACCATAGGTGAGGGTAGGAACGTAGATCGACTGGTAAATCGAGAGCTTTGCCTTTTAGCTCAGCTCTTTCTTCACCATGACAGACCGATTCAGTGCCCGCATTACTGCTGACGCCGCATTGATCCACCTGTCGATCTCCCGCTCCATCCTTCCCTCACTCGTGAACAAGCCCCTGAGATACTTAAACTCCTCCACTTGGGGGAGGACCCTCAATGCCCTGGCTGAGCCTAGAAATTCTGTCCATAAAAGCTATGAACAGAATCGGTGACAAAGGGCAGCCCTGACGGAGTCCAACCCTCACTGGAAACGAGTCCGACATATTGCCGCCCATGCGGACCAAGCTCTGACACCGGTCATACAGAGACTGAACAGCCCTTATAAGGAAGCCCGGCACCCCATACTCCCGGAGCTCTCCCCACAGGACTCCCCGAGGGACACGGTCAAATGCTTTCTCCAAGTCCATGAAACACATGTAGACTGGTTGGACAAACTCCCATGAACCCTCCAGAACCCTGCGGAGAGTATAGAGCTAGTCCACTGTTCCACGGCCGGGGCAAAAACTGCTTGGCGCCTCTCTCTCCGTGAGCAACTCCAGAGTGGAAGAGGGTCCAACCCCCCTCAAGGAGACTGGTTCCAGTGCCCAAGCTGTGTGTCGAGGTGAGCCTGACTATATCTAGTCGGAACTTCACAACCTCGCGCACCAGCTCAGGCTCCTTCCCCTTCAGAGAGGTGACATTCCATGTCCCTAGAGCTAGCTTCTGCAGCCGAGGATCGGACCGCCAAGGTCCCCGCCTTTGGCCACTGCCCAACTCGCACTGCACCCAACCCCTATGGCCCCTGCTACAGGTGGTGAGCCCATTGGAGGGGGGACCCATGGGCCTAATTCG